TCCTTCATGGAGTGGGGAAGAGGGGGCTTGTGGCCATAGACCATTCTAAGCTTACATCATCTCAAAGGGTCAGCTGAATGCATATCATCTAAAATCGTAAGTGGATAAAAAGTACCCGAAATCAATATCCGAAGAGTCTTAAGTAACGTGCTGCTTTGACTGGATTGTCTCCCGGGTATAAGCGGGGAAGAGGAGAAGGGGCCAGCACACATGTACCCTAAGTCTAGAGCCTGGGGAAATAAAAGGGATGTTGTAGCTGGTTCTTTACAGTAAATTAAAGAGTTTCCTATTGAAGAGTTTCCCAAGATCACTGCCAACAAGTTCTCACAACCCTTCATGAGGGAGCCCTGGGGCGCTGTGATATCTGGGCCTTTCGTGCCTCCTGGCAGAGGCTCTCTCTGTCATGGGGCTGGTTTCTAAAGCTGTGTATTCCCTGTTGGCTGACTGCTAGCTCCAGTCAAATGTCAAGTTCAGAAGTTCCTTTGAAGGACCATAATGAAGAGGGATCAACTTAATTTTAAAATAAACTTTGGGTTTTCAAGACAAATTGTTATTTATTTTACTTTTTTTAAAATGGCCACACTCTTTGTTTCCTTTTTTAAAAAATATTTTATTTATTTGAGAGGAAGAGAGAGAGAGCAAGTGAGAGCACAACAGCAGGGGGAGGGAGAAGCAGACTCCCAGCTGAGCAGGGAGCCCAATGCAGGACCCCAGGATCATGACCAGAGTTGAAGACAGACGCTTAGCTGACTGAGCCACCCAGGCGTCCCCCCCCCTTTCTTTTAAAGATTTTATTTATTTAGATAAGCTGTTTCTTATGAAGTTAAATACACATCTACCAAATGACCCCACCATCTGATTTCTAAGTATTTACCATAGAGAACTGAAAACTTAAAATCACACAGAAACCTGTAAATAAGTGTTTACAGAAGGTTTATTCATAATCACAAAACACACGAAATAACTCAAATGTCCAACAGGTGAATGGGTAAACTGTGGTACATCCATACAACAGAATACTACTCAATAAGGATAAGGGGAAAAACTATTGACACACTCAACAGCAAGTATGAATCCCAAATACATCATGCTAAGTGAAAGAAGAGAGTCTCTAAAGATTGTGTATTGCATGATCCCATTTATATGGCATTCTGGAAATGGCAAAACAACAGATTGGTGTTTTTGAGAGGCTAGGGGTTGGGCAGGTTCTGCCTGCAAAAGGGTAGCTCAAGAGAATTCTTTGGAGCTGTTGGATTGTTCTCTATTCCATTTGTTGTACAAAAATTAGTATAAGATACAATAAATTCTTCATACAATTAGTACAAGATACAATAAATTCTTAGTATAAGAATTTATGCATGTGTTAAAATATATAGAATGATATAACCAAAAAAGTGAATTCTGCTATGTGTAAATATTGAAAATTTGAGAAATCAAATTTTGAACTGATAATATGCCTTTAATAAATTACTTGTGTCACAGAAAGGAAGCCTATTTAAACACACACACACACACACACACACACACACACACACACACACACCCCAGGTATACTGAAACACAATTTGTGTTTCTCTGGGTGAAGCAATCTTTCTAATTATGGAAGTTGGCAATATGAAATTTGCGGAAATCCAGAAGACCACAAAGAAATCACCTTGTCAACATGTATCAAATGTCTTGGCAGAAAAATAGTTCTTATAGGCCAGTTCTTTATTCTCTGAAGAAGTGGTTGGCCTCTCCTGTTAAAAGATGTTGTCCCTGGCATATATCTGGTTGATAGGCCTCTTAAAATTTGCCCTGAATTTATCTCATGCAAAGCCAAGGAGTCTGTGTAAGAAGCTGGCTTGGTAGCATCTGTGTGTGTGTGTGTGTGTGTGTGTGTGTAAGTCTCCCTCTGTTTTGTGTCCTGGCCCCTTCTTTATCTTCTGTAATCTTCAATAGAGAGGCAGAGGACTTTTCAACATTGGTCTACACAAAGCTGCACAGGTGGGCATTTTCACGACCTTTAACAGGTACAGCAGTCCAAAAGAGGAAATCTTATCCCAAATCTGTCTCTGGCATCCCTCCAGCCTTCCTTGGAGGGTTTCCTTTTCCATTTACACTCCTCTCTCTGGCTGTCCCCCCGAAAGTCAGCCTGTCCCTCTCTGGTGTTTGCCTGGGCCTGGGGTCTCACCCTGCCTGTCCCCTGGAGTGTCAGGTCATGAACTGGGGCCTATGAAAACCCTTAGGAAAAATCTGACAAATCTTCACAGAGCAGCAGTTTTTCTAGATGTTAAAACAGTGAAAACATCGTCTTGACCGAGATGGCAGTTGAGTCTACCTAGCCCAGGGGGTTTAACCTTTAACTTGGGGTGCACAGACTGACGAAGTGTTCATGGATACATTTCACAGGATTTCATGTACTTAGATGTGAAAAAAAAACTTTTTTTTTCTTTTTAAAGAGGGAGGGAGAGAGAGCGCACCTGCATGTGCAAGGCGGGGGTGGGGGTGGAGGCTGGGGGACGCAGAGGGAGAGAGAATCTCAAGCAGACTCCCAGCTGAGCAGGAAGCCCATGACCCTGAGATCATGACCTGAGCTGAAATCAAGAGCCAGTCACTTAACCGACTGAGCCACTTAGGCGCACCTAAAAAATTCTTCACTTTCACTAGCTTCTAACTGGAACTGGGCGCTTCCTTTCATTGTGAATGTAGGCGACAAATCACAGAAGTTACTGTGTACCTGTGCCACCATCCCCTGTAGAAATCAGATATTTTCATATTACATTACAGTTGTTCAGGGATCTCACAGTTTTTTAAAGCTCACCACTACCTCAATTGACAGTAACTATCACACTTGCTAATAGTTGCTACTTAATAAAAATATATATTATGTCACAAATTTGGGTTTTTTTCCTCCAATGTGCTGATGGCTTCCTTTTCTTTAAAATTCTGTAATTGGTTTTCTTTGTGATACAATATGTTTTTTAAGCTTTAAAAAATATTATTCTAGGGGCGCCTGGGTGGCTCAGTCGTTAAGGGTCTGCCTTCGGCTTAGGTCATGATCCCAGGGTCCTGGGATGGAGCCCAGATTGGGCTCCCTGCTGTGTGGGAAGCCAGCTTCTCCCTCTCCCACTCCTCCTGCTTGTGTTTCTCTCTCGCTGTCTCTGTCAAATAAATAAAATCTTTTTTAAAAAAAATTAAAAAAATAAAAAATATTATTCTAGAAAGAGGTTTATGGGTTTCAGCAGACTTTTGAGATTTACATCTCAAAAAAGGTTAAGATTTCTGCCAGCAGCCATAGATTTGGAGATTCAAGTAAAATGGACTCACCTTTCCCCCAGCCAATATCCCCTTCACAATTCCTGTGACTTCCTCATGGCTTACATTCCCTTACATTCAAAGTACCCACAGAGCTTTGTCTTAGTTGCATCTCTCCCCCATTCTCCATGTCCAGCAAGGACCCCCTTTCCTTGATTTCCCCCAAACCCCTTGATACATGTCTTTAGATCCAAGGGGGGAAAGCAGTAGGGTGGGGATTAGAAGGTGCAGAGCATGGCAGAAGACTGTGGACTGAACATTGGGCCTCCCAAGAGTTCTTGAAAAGTCCCTGGGGGCCACCTGTCACAAGGAAAGACATTCTCATGAGCAAGTAGCAGCCCCTGCAATGGGATTTCTCTCCTCCTCACATAATGTTCTTGAGCTGCAGCCAACCCCAGGATTCCAATTCATCATTTACTTGGACCCATTTAACATGTTCGTGCTCTCATCCCTGCTCGCCGCGTCCATGCATGGAAGATTTTGACTTCATGATAACAGAGAGTTTTCTCTCTGAGGGGACCTCGGCTAGCAATGAAAGAAGTCATTATTTTTCCTCATTCTTGTACAGTTTACAGGAATCTGAAGGTAATGCAAGAAACTTGTATTTTAGAGCTCATTATGGGTGAGTTTGAGTGTTCACTCTCCTTTACCATTCTGCGGGAATGTTTGAAAACATTGCTTTGGGGACTTTAATGAAGGCAGACATGGATGGAAGGAGTTGCATGCATTTGAAATAAAATCTAAACTCCTTTACAGACAACACAGTTTGTCTCCAGTCTCATCTAGCCAGTCTCTTCTTTAGTCCACTCCATTCCAGCCACACTGAACTTCTTGCTGTGCTTAGAATACTCAGAGCTCTTTTTAGCCACAGGGCCTTTGCACCTGCTGTTTCCTTTCCTTTGCACTTTGCTGTTTCCTTCTGCATTCTCCCACTGGCTCTTGCTCTTCCTTCTGATCAAATGCCATCTCATCAATGAGGCTTTTCCTGATTTCTCTTCCTGAAACGCTCCCCAACTCTGTTGATCTTTATCCCAGGACCTCTGTTTCCTTCATATCTCTTACCATAATCTAATTATTTTATTTGTTACTTTTTAATATCTGTTTTCCCCAGGTTTAAAAGCCCCATGATGATAGGGACTGGGACAGATTTGTTCATTGGTGCATCCCTACTACATAGCACGGTGCTTGTCTTTCAGTAGAATCTCAATAAATACTCATGGAATGAATGATTGGATTTAGTGTAAGGTATAGTTTGGTTCCCAAAGGGGTCCCTGAGGATGTAAAAATTTCCTTGTCAAAGGAATGCAGTTATAATAGCAGAAACATGCATGGGGTTGATATTTTAGATCAAGGAGACCTTCTTGTGTGACATTTTTTCAGTTAGCACTGTCTGATTTGCTAACCCAGAGAGCTGACAGGGCTCTTTTTGGAGAAGATAAAAAACCAAACCAAAACAAAACCCCCTGAAGACAAAAAGATTACCCCTTGGGGGGCCTTTGTACTGTTTGGCCAGAGAAATTAATTGGAAGAGGGGAGCTATATATCCAAGAGATACTTGTTTCCAAAGTTCTAGTATCAGAACAGTAAAGAATGAGTCCACAGTTTGCCACATATCAGACTATCAAAGACATGGTCATTAATCATTGTGTGATGACTTTTGGGTTGATTCTGTTTTAAATAAATTTTTTTTCTTCAATCCACAGGTCGCAGTTTTTGTCTGCTTGAACACACATGGCTTTGTTACGAAAAAGTAAGATTACAGCTTTTGACAATCATGATTATTAAAAACAGATATTCTAAAAGACTGTTTTGATGCTAGATCTTGGATTTTTTTTTTTTTTTTTTTTAAAATCCTCTTTGATTTTCATGGATCGTTTTCCCACATGCAATACTTGGCATTATCATTTCAGGATGATGCCTGTGGAAAGTTGTTAAGTATTTTGTCCAGACATAGATTTATCCTGAGAGGGGTCATACATTTCTATAAAATTTATAAATATAACTTATTTTCTCATTTTAAATAAATATTCATGTTCCTATTTAATTCAGCAGTTGTAATTTCATGTTCCTATTCTTAAATTATATTATCTTCAGACCCCATCAAAACCTGGATTTGCCCTTGATTTCAGATCTAGCAGTTTGTGAACCTGGGAGAGAAACATAGTAATCTAATTGTGTTGCTGTTAGCCTCAGGGTAGAATTGCCTGATGTAGCAGATGAAAAGACAAGATATCCAGTTAGATATGAATTTTAGATTATCTATGAATGATATTTTAGCATAAGTATATCCCAAATATTGCATAAGACATACTTATACTAAAAAAAATAAAATAAAGGTGGTAGTAGACATTGAGTTGCTTCCCCACACTGGCTGTGGCAGGTAAATGTTAATCAGACGTATTGATAAACTACAGGACTTTGTTCCTTATTTTCTATTTCTCTATAGTTTGGTATTAAATTGAGTCTAGTATCTGGTTGTCTCTGGCTGCATCTGACCATCCAGAAAGGCAGAGGGGAGCTGGATGTTAGCACAGGAGAATCCTTGAGCCTCAGAATGTAGCTCTGGAAGACATCTGTAGAGAATGACTCCTTCCTTTTACAAATGTGAAGACAAAGGCCTAGGAGCCAGAAAATAGCTCAGTATGAGGCCAATAAATGTAAATACCTTGATGCACAAAAGTAGGAAATGATAACATATAACAATTGTAACGTGTTTACTGGGCCTACATTGCCTTCGTTAACTCTCAAAACCCCCCTTGTGAGACAATGACTAATATTACAATTACACTCCTCATGGAGCAGATGAGCAAACTGAGGCTCAGAGAGATTCAGTGACCCATCCAAAGCCACACAGCTAAGAGGTGATAGAAACAAGATTTGAATCACGCTTGAAATCCTAGCCCCTTCCTCTCCTACCAACATTTTCCAGACTTCAGGTACTTGTGCTCCATGTAGAGCAATGCACACCTTCTCAATTTTTCATCATCTGTGTTTCTTCTGTCCTATGCATGACTTAACAATTTTCTTTAAGTTGACTCATTTAAAAAAGTATGTGTACTTTATAATAGAAAGTGTATATCCTTACTGTAAGTAGAATAAGCTATCTCGTATCATAAAAAGAAGTTGATTATACAAATATATACGATTAGAACAATGTTATTCAATCCTGGGTTGCTTTTGTTGTCGGCCTGCACCTGAAATTAAACTGATTTCTCACGCTGTGATTTAATGTTACTTAATGCCATGATCATGAACCTCCTAAACCACCTCATGTACAATCACATGGCATGTGCTCAATATTAGGACAACACTGTCCTATATTACTTGTGCTTCTCAGTAGATCCCAAGGGCGAGCGTCATTGTTCTGGAACAGATGGTCCTGGATGCTGGGAACTAGAAGAGGTATTTGGGTCTTCTGGCTTCTCACTCAGGGCAAGAATTTTCAGTACGTCATCCTTGACCAGTGGTTGAATTAACCGAGAAGCTGTGTTATAATAGCTGAGAACCTGTACTCATAAGAAGTACTGGCTCATCATAAGCATCATATAAATGTTGGCTATTCATTCAAACAAAGTATTCATGCACAGAAAGTGGCTCCAGAGGGAACATCATACACGCACTAAGGTTGTAGCCTCTGCCATCAGACTGCCAGGGGTAGCCCTGGATCCTCCTTAAACTCTATCTCCGTATCCTTGAGCATCAACAGCATCCTGGCTTAACCCTTTATGCACATGCCATCTGCTTAAAGGTCCCAGACCACCACTGCTATGTATGTCAGGGAAGGCATCTGCTCCTAAGACTATTCTAAACTTTCCCCAAATTTCAGCTTGATAGGTTACACTTGAATGTGTTTCTGTTTTTATTTCAGTTAATCAGGTGTTGCTGTTCCTTCTGATTGTGACCCTCTGTGGGATCCTGTATAAGAAAGTTCATAAGGGAACTGTGCTCAGGAATGAAACAGGTATGCTAACTGAAATAAGCCAATCCCAAAAAGACAAATACTATGTGATTCTTCTTATATGAGGTACTTAGATAGTCAAAATCATCCAGACAGAAAGTATAATGGTGGTTGCCAGGGGCTGGGGCGGGGGAGGGGGATAGGGAGTTCTTGCTTAATGGGTATAAGTTGTAGTTTTATAAAATGAGTTTATAAAACTCCCGTTTTGTAAGAGTTATGGGGATGGATGGTGGCGAGAGTAGTACCACAGTGTGAATGTATTTAATACACTGAACTGTGTACTTAGAAATGGTAAAGATGAGAAATTTTATGTGTTTTTTACCACAATAAAAAGAATTTTAAAAAAAAAGCAGATAAGTAAGCATATATAATCCATCAAGATAGGGTACCTGGGACTGCGGTTTAAATGCGTTCCTTTGATTCCTTTCAGTAGCTGGGTTCAGAGACAAGCCACAATTTGGTCAGATCCCAAGGACCTGCTCGTAGAATATCCACCCAAGGCCAACTTCTCAGTAATGTTCTAGAATGATCAGTGCTACTCAAACTTTAGCTGTGTTATAATAGCTGAGAACCTGTACTCATAAGAAGTACTGGCTCATCATAAGCATCATATAAATGTTGGCTATCCATTCAATATATTCATTCATATAAGAATCACAATTACAGTTTGTTAAAACACAATACTTGGACCCACCCTGAGAAATTTTGAGTTAGTAGATATGGGGTGAGGCCTGAGAATTTGCATTTCTAATAAGCTCCCAGTGACACTTGGTTTTTGGACAACACTTTGGGTGGCTTGCTTTACATCTGTCCTTTGAGTCTCTCAATAATCTTGGTTATGAAAATTGCCTTCTCTTTCTTCTCCCTGCTGGTTCATTCCCATTAGTACACAAATAGCCTCAGAATTCTCAACTTAAAAAAGCTCCTGTATTGACCCTATATTCTCTTCCAGCTGTGCCGAGGAGCCCAATTTCCCTCCCGAGGGGTGAATTGCTTGAAATGGCACCTTTACAACCTCCGAACACACAAAATCAACCCACACAAAAATTAAGAAACACTGATAGCAAGTATATTATGTTATGTTATATTATGTTATATTATGTTATTTATAAAGATTTTATTTTTAAGTAATCTTTACACCTACTGTGGGGCCCAAACTCACAACCCTGAGATCAAAAGTCTCACACTCCTCCAACTGAGCCAGCCAGATGCTCCTATTTTTAGATAATTTAATTTTTATATTAATCAAACAAATACATTTATGGAAAATGCAGAAGAGAAAAAATATTACCTGTTGTCGTATCAGCCAAAGACAAATACAGTTAATATTTTGGTGCATTATATACATTCACCTCACACTATTTTTCTTTTCTTTTCTTTTTTTTAAAGATTTTATTTACTTATTTGAGAGAGAGAGAATGAGAGATAGAGAGCACAAGAGGGAAGAGGGTCAGCGGGAGAAGCAGACTCCCCGCTGAGCAGGGAGCCCGATGCGGGACTCGATCCCAGGACTCAAGGATCATCACCTGAGCCGAAGGCAGTCGCTTAACCAACTGAGCCACCCAGGCACCCTCTCAAACTATTTTTCTTAAGCCAGCTTAGGCACTGGACATACAACAATGAAAAAAAAAAACAATGTCCCTGTTCTCACAAAGCTGACTTACCTTAATATAAAAAATTCATTAAAAAAAAACAGTTAAGGGGCACCTGGGTGGCTCAGTCAGGTAAGCATCTGACTTTGGCTCAGGTCATGATCCCAGGGTCCTAGGATCGAGCCCCACATAGGGCTTCCTGCTCAGTGGGGAGTTTGCTTCTCCCTCTTCCTCTGTCCCTTTCTCCTGCTCATACTCTCTCGTGCTCTCTCTCTCTCTCCCCCCCCCCAAAAAAAGTTAAAAACATGTGTAATCTGGTCTAAATGAACATGAGGAGCATCTGGAAAGAGAATGACTTCACATAAAGACCTGTATACAAATGTTTCTAGGACATTATTCTTTGTAGCCATGAACTGGAAACAATCCACATGTGAATCAACTAATGACTAAATAAAATGTAGTATATTGACACAGTGGAGTCCTTTTCAACAGTAAAAAGGAACACAGTAATGTGTGCTCCCCTGTGGATAAACCTCCCAGAGATTATGCTACATGAAAGAAGCCAGACCTGAAAGCCCACATATTATACAGTTCTGTGTATAGAAATCTCTAGAAAAGGTAAATCTACAGAGACATAAAAGAGAGCTCTGGTTTCCTGGACCTGGGAGTGGGAGTGGATTGACGGTAACCCAGTGAAGGGAACTTTTCACGGAGGTGAGATTGTTCTAAAATGGTGATTGTGGTTGTGCAACTCTATCAATTTACTAAAAATCATGGAACTGTATACCTACAGTAGCAAATTTTAAGAAAATTCCAAAATTTCCAAATTTTAAGAAATCTGTATTAGCCCAGGCTGCCTTAACAAAATACCACAGACTAGGTGGCCTAAACAAAAGAAATTTATTTTCTCACAGCTCTTAAGGCTGGAAGTCTAAGATCCAGGTGTTCCCAGCATTCATTTCTCCCAAGACTTCTCTTCTAGGCTCACAGTTCTCCCCATGTCCTCAGATGACCTTTTCTGAGTGTTTACATCTCTGATGTCCCTGCCTCTTCTTATAAGGACACCAGTCATACTGGATTAAGCCTCAAGCTAAGCCTCATTTTTCACTTAATTGTCCTTTAAAGGCTCTGTCTTCGAATGCAGTCACATTCTGAGGTAGTAGGGGTTAGGGCTTCAATATATGAATTTACACAATTCAGTCCATAACAATAAATTATGCCTCAATAGAGGAAGGAAGCCATACAAGGTCAAAAGTTGTCTGAACTTCAAGTTCTTTCCTCCTCACCCTTCATTCACTCCCTGCCCATAAACCAACACATTTGGCCAGTTGAATCCCACAGCAAACTCCTTTCTCCACAGAGAGAAATGAATAGCTTTTATAACAGCTGTTAAAACAACTGTAAGGAAATGCACATCCTGGCTCATTAATTAGCCATATACCAATAAACAAAGTGTTTGGAGCACATGAATGGATCCAGTGTCATATTTTTATCCCATGCAGTGTTAAATAAAAAAAGAATCAGTGTTATGAACTACTATTCAAAAGAATATAGTGTTGACATGGAAAGATGACTGTGCTATGTTAAGTGGAAAATGCCAAGTTGCAGAAAACCATGAAAAGTATGATTTCATTTTGGTTTTAAAATAATACATGTAAGTGGTATATTTCCTTTTGGAATAACATGAAGAAGGATTTGAGAGGCACACATTACACCCGTAACAGAGATCTGCCTTTGGAATTGGAGTGGAGAGGTCTGAAGAAAATCATCAGGGTTTATTGGAATTTGGGGCTGGGATTTTTTTTTTTTAAGATTTTTTATTTACTTATATGAGAGAGAGAGAACAGGAGCGGGATGAGGGGCAGAGGGAGAAGGAGGGAGCCCCATGCGGGGCTCGATCCTGGGACTCCAGGATCAAGACCTGAGCTGAAGGCAGACGTTTAAACTGACTGAGCCACCCAGGTGCCCCTGGGATTCTTTCCAAGAAGTGCATATTAATATATATATAAAGATTTTATTTATTTATTTGACATATTAATATTTTTAATAGACTTTATTTTTGGGGTGCCTTGGGTGCCTCAGTCGTTAAGCGTCTGCCTTCGGCTCAGGTCATGATCTCAGGGTCCTGGGATCGAGCCCCACATTGGGCTCCCTGCTCAGCGGGGAGCCTGCTTCTCCCTCTCCCACTCCCCCGCTTGTGTTCCTGCTCTCGCTGTGTCTCTCTCTGTTAAATAAATAATTAAAATCTTAAAAAAAAAAACAAACAAAAACCATCCCCTGCCCTATGGTACATTAGTGACAAGTGATGAACTTCCATGGGCACGTCATTCTTACCCAGCGTCCACAGTTTACACCTTTCGGGTTCACTCCTGGTGTTGTACATGGGCTGTGAGAAATGTATAATGACATTTATCTACCATTCTAGAAAATAGAATCAGTGAAACTCCTCTGTGCTCCACCTATTCCATATTAACTTTTGTATTTTCTAAGACAGTAATTCAAAGAACTAGTGGTATAAGGTGATGTCCAGAAGCCCTGTAAAGTCACATGCTGAAGAAAAGCACAGTGCCATTTTGTGTATTCTCCTGATAATAACATTTGATGTAATCTCCTGGTAATTTAGCTGGTGATTAACTCCCTGACCCATTTGAAGTGAGGCAAGTTTACATGATTGGCTAAAAAGATCCTAATTTAAATGGGATTCAGAGACTTGGCGTTGGGAGAGCATACATTTCACTTTTTCTAGGAATGGGCGTGGTCTGATAAGTGCTGCTTGTGGGAATGGACTAGTGCAATGGAATACATTTCTAGTCCATACTACCATCAGTATGGTGTTTTCTTAGAGATTTTAGGGCACCAAGCAGCTAAATCTTTTGATGAATTGGCTTAGGCACCAATTGGCACAACAGATTCAAAAACAGTGGATGATTCCCCCAAGAAGCTGCAAGGATGAAACATTCGTGAAGAATTTACAGTTGGTAAATCGTTCCCCCCCCCCTTTCTCCAGTGTGCCTTCATCCATATTCTGTCCAGGGAAGACTTCTTGGCAGAGAGCAGTGTTTTTGGCTTAGGTTAGCTTCCAGCTCCTCTGACTGGCAGAGGCTCCTAAGAAGTGTGGCAGATGAGCTATAAACTTGGTGTTTGACCCCTTGGGGTGGCCCTATTTCCTGGGGATACCTTCCTCCTCCCTTATTCTGCCTGTTGCCTGACAGGCTGGCTCTGCCCCAGCTTTCCAGCCCTTCTCTCTCTTTCTTTGCGCCTACAAGTAGTCCAGGAATCATTCCTCCAAAGCCCTGTTCTGTAAGATCTACACATCAATTCAGTTAAATCCAGCAAACTTTTATTAAGTGCTTCCTAGGTGCCAGACTCCGTGGGGATAATATAATGAGCTCATAGTCTAGCGGGGGAGACAGACACATGAATAGATGCTTTGTGTGCAGTGGAGTAAGTGCTCAAAGAGAGGTATTTAATAAATTCACCCATCCATTCATCCATCCCTCCCTCCAAAGTGGATTGGGAATCTACCATGTTCCAGGCACTATGCTAGCTGCAAGTGAGCAGACAGAGATGAACAAGTTACTGTCCTGGCCCTCATGGAGCTCCCAATGTAATGAGAGAGAAAGGAAAGACATGCAACCCAAAAAATTGCAATGCAGCTGCTAAATCCAGCCACAAACAAGACCAAAGTGAGCACAGATAGGGGGTGAGCTAATTTGTGTAAGGAGCTGTTAAGGCTTCCTTGAGGGTCTGATCTAGACTGATGGAGTCAGAGTTAGCCATGCAGGAAAAGGTGGAAGGAACGTTCCAGGCATCAGGAACGGTGTGTGCAAGGGCACTGAGGAAAGGGACAACCTGCCTGGTGCAGTGTTCAGGGGACCACAAGTAGTTTGGTATTGCTGGAATGGAAGGAGTCAAAGCTAGGGAAGTGAGCAGGGGCTGGATCGTGAGGCACCCTGTGTGCCAGGCAAAGGAAGGTAGCTTTACCTTATGGGACCCCCTGAAGGATGGGAAGCAGTGAAGAAACATAGTCAGATTTGCATTTGGGGCAGTTCACTTCACTGCCTGAAAGTAACATGCCACATGATTAGGAAACCTCCCCAAGATGACAGTTTAGTCCAAAAGGAATAATCCCTTAGGAAATATTTTCTTTTGGGGCACCTGGGTGGCTCAGTCGTTAAGCATCTGCCTTCCGCTCAGGTCATGATCCCAGGGTCCTGGGATCGAGCCCCGCATTGGGCTCCCTGCTCAGCAGGAAGCCTGCTTCTCCCTCTCCCACTCCCCCTGCTTGTGTTCCCTCTCTCCCTGTGTCTCTCTCTGTCAAATAAATAAAATCTTTAAAAAAAGAGAAGTATTTTCTTTTTTGTTTATAAAAATAACCATAGTTACTTCAGAGAATTTGGAAAACACAAGAGATGCAAATAAGGAAATTGAAATCACTCATAATTCCATAAACAGATGTAGATCCATTTGAAAATGTCTGTATATTATCACATTGGGATAATATGCTAGATGAGATTCGTGTGGTGATTTTGTGCACCAAATGCTAGAGAGAATTTTGTATTCTTTTCCCCCTTAACATTGTATTATGAGCATTCTCTCATGTCACTAAAGATACTGTGAAAACAAACTTATTCTCGTGGTGGACATGTCCAATGTGGTGGCCAGCCTGTGAAGAGACGTAGGAGGAGAAGGGGTAGACGCTTCCATGTTCCTTAAGTTATACAAAGCACAGGTCCTGGTAGTTAGTTTAATATATATTTGTTGGATTAAATATCAGCTAGAACTACCCTGCATCTGAGTAGTATTTTGCAAAAAGTATCTGTAAAGAGAGAGCAAGCTTTAAGTAAAAACCAGAAGGGCATCTGATTGTGGGTACTCTACATACTGATAATTATTATCCTTCATCCTGGAAAACTATACTGTGGTGCCAAAATGTGATGTTATATCACCAGTTTTTTATATCACAGCCACAGCTCAAGAGAACAATCAATTACTCATCTTGTACATTAGTCATGCTCTTTCATTTACCTCCTTTCTCTTGCTGTCAAGTTTACAGACACTTGACTAGAGGGTGGATAAGAGAAGGAAGATCACAAGCAGTAGATTTCATAGCAGCATAGGCAGGGTAAATATCCCAGTTGAGGAAAGAGCTGAGGAGCTGAGGAACTGTCGAATCGAATGAGGCTTTCAGTTCTTCACATATTTTTCAACTGTGTATCTGTGTTAGGCTATCTGATTGGCTTCTGTAAGAGAGCTCCAAAATAATAGTGCTGAAGCAAAACAGAGGTTTATTTTCTCTCTCAAGGTCAAAGTGTGATGTGTCCTTTCTACAGTCATCCAGATCAAGTTTCCTTCTCTCTTAGGGTTTTGGTGTCCTCCACAGGTAGCTTCCATCTTGGGGCCCAAGATGGTTGCCCTGAGTCCTGTCATCATATCCCCATTCCAGACAATGCGAAGGGGGAAAGGAAGAGGGGAGGCCAGCACATTGCTTTCAAAGACAAACCCAGTAGTCGCCCAAATACCTGCACTAACCTCCCATTGGTCAGAACTTGATCACACAGACTTGCAAGGGAGTCTGAGAATCGTGGTTGGCTCTGTGCCAGCTAAAATTCCAGTGTTCTTTTTCTAAGAGAAGAGGAGACTGGGTGTTGGAGAATAGCTGGCAGTCTCTACTACCCTATGCTGTCTTCCCCCAGGAGTGTGGAAGACACCTGGCCCTACTATGAAATTCCTTCATGTTCTAAGACACTGATTTTGATGTTTCCAGACGAGGACTCTGAACCTCCTGAGGAAATGGAGGAGGAGATTCCTGTGGTGATTTGTGCTGCGGCGGGCAGAATGGGTGCCACCATGGCTGCCATCAACAGCATCTACAGCAACACTGACGCCAACATTCTGTTCTACGTCGTTGGACTCCGGAACACTCTGTCTCGAATCCGGTAATTTGTGCACTATAGACTTTGGAGTTTTCTGCTTTTTTTTTTTTTTTTCATCTTTCTTATCTTTCCTTAAATGGATTTCCCTATGTTTTGGGTTTGATACATGTCATTTGAATTAATGAGAGGATGACCTGAGGTTTACTCGGCGACCTGACGAATGTGTTGCCTCACTAAGGAAGTTGCAGCAAAGCCTCATTAATCCGGTTGTTCAAGGCATCGTTCTGCCGAAGCGAATTGTCTAATGAACCAAAGAATTGCAGTCCTTAAGCAGGTTCTGTGGAAGTCTTTCTTTCTAAAATGGTTTCTCTTTTCTCTGCTTTTTTAACCTGGAAGGATAGTAATATAGTATCATTTTAATATGACCCAGAATCATCACTGATTATAATTTTTAATTTAATTTAATTTAATTTATTTTTTTAAAGATTTTATTTATTTATTCATGAGAGACAGAGGGAGAGAGAGAGAGAGAAGCAGAGGGAGAAGCAGGCTCCCAAGGAGCAGGGAGCCCAATGTGGGACTCGATCCCAGGACCCTGGGATCATGACCTGAGCCGAAGGCAGACGCTTAACCCTCTGAGCCACCCAGGTGCCCTGATTATAATTTTTTAAAGAATTTATTTATTTATTTGAGATAGAGTGAGAGAGAGAGAGAGCACAAGCAGGGGGGAGGGGCAGAGGGAGAGGGAGAAGCAGGCTCCCTGCTGAGCAGGGAAATGGACGCTGGGCTTGATCCCAGAACCCTGGGATCATGACCTGAGCCGAAGGCAGATGCCTGACTGACTGAGCCACCCAGGCACCCCATTATTATAATTTTTGAACTGCAAAGCAATCTGTTTCCTATCACACAACACACTAAAAAAATAAGTTGGGAATGGATTTAGAAGAGATAAATAGAAAATCAAATTTTAAAGTATTATAAAAATGTGGGATAATTATATAATTTTGCTATGGAAAATGACTGTGAGCACAAAAACCATAAGGAAAAAATGGACAGATTTTACTGCATAACATTTAAAAACTTTATTTATTTATTTATTTATTTATTTAATTTTTAGAGAACCCAAGTTTTGGGATTAACAGACAAGGCTTTATTCATTTACGTATTTTAAAGATTGCATTTATTTATTTATTGAGAGAGAGAGAGCATGAACTGGGGGGGGGGGCAGAGGGAGAGGGAGAAACAGACTCCCCACTGAGCAGGGAGCCAGAAGAGAGCCTCAATCCCAGGACCCTGGGATCATGACCTGAGCTGAAGGCAGATACCTAACTGACTGAGCCACCCAGGTGCCCCTAAACACTTTTAAATTATGAAAAACACTGTAAGTGAAATTAATCATGCAATAAATGAGGTAAAATATTTTCAACATGTATTATAGATGAAGGATTACTATCCAAAGTATAAAAAGAATTCTCACAAAAAATTTTTAAGCATACAAACATCTAGTAGAAAAATAGAAATAGAAACAAATAGAATACAAACAAACAAATCATAGAAGAAAAAATACAAATGGTCAACAAACATGAAAAGGTATTCTGTGTTACTCATAGGGAAATGCAAATTAAAATGACAATGACATATAATTTTTCACTCATCGAGATGGTAAAAAATTAAAGAGGACAACAATATTCAGTGCAAGAAAATGGACATGCTCATTCTTTACTTAAACAATGTACACTTTGTAAACTGGTAAGGCATTTTGAAAGAGCAATATGGCAATGTCTAATAAAATTTGATATGCATAGAACTGCTGTAGCCACTGTGGAAGACAGTATGGAGTTTCCTCAAAAAGTTAGAAATAAAATTACCCTACAATCCAGGAATTGCACTAGTGGGTATTTACAACCAAAATACAAAAACACTAACTCAAAGTGATACATGCACTCCTACATTTATAGTAGCCTTATTTACAATAGCCAAATCAAGGAAGCAGCCTAAGTGTCCTTGGATAGATGAATGGATAAAGAAGAGGTGGTGTGTATATACAATGGAGTATTATTCAGGCATATAAAAGCATGGCATCTTACCATTTGCAATGATGTGGATGGAGCTTGATTGTATTTTGCTAAGTGAAATAAATCAGTCAGAGAAAGACAAACACCATATGATCTCACTCATGTGGAATGTAAGGAACAAAAAAAATGAACAAAGGAAAAAAGAGAGAGAGACAAACCAAGAAACAGACTCTCAACTATCGAGAACAAACTTCTGGTTCCCAGGGGGAGGCGGGTGGGGGGATGAGTGAAACAGGTGCACTTGTCATGATGAGCACTGGTACTGCATGGAAGTGTTGGATCACTATGTTGTACACCTGCAGATAATATTACACTGTATGTTAACTAATTGGAATTTTAAATTTTAAAAAAATGTTATATGCATATATAACATATATAGTTTGACTCACCATACCATTTTCACTACTAGGAATCTGTTACAGCAATTCTAATACATATTACCAAAATATAGGTACAACAGTGTTAATTTCAGCATTATATGAAATAGCAAAAAAAAAATGCTAACTGCTTAAATGTCCATCAATAGAAGAATATTGAAATGAACTATGGAATATGATCCAGCTATTAAAAGAGAAAGAAGGCCGTGTGGGTATACTGACAAGATCTTCGAGGCATCTTGTTAAGTGGAAGATGCACATTGCCGTACATCTCATATGGTATAATCCATTTTATGAATGTCTTATCCATTCAGGCTGCTGTAACAGAAAGCCCCAGACTGGGTGGCTTATAAAAATAGAAATGTATTTCTCTCAGTTCTGGAGGCTGTGAAGCCCAAGATCTAGGCCCCAGCCGATTCCATGTCTGGTAAGGGCCTGCTTGCTGGTTCATAGAGGGCTGCATTTTTGTTGCCCTCCCATGGTGGAAGGGGTATGGGATTTCACTGGGGTCTCTGTCAGAAGGGCATTAATTCCATTCATGAGGGCTCCACCCTCAGGACCTAATCACCTTCTGAAGGCCACACCTCCAAATGCCATCACACTGGGGATTAGGTTTCAACATATGAATTTGGGGACGGGGGACAAAAACATTGTTTATAGCTTTAAAGATAAAAACAAAAACAAAAACAGGGGTGCCTGGCTGGCTCGGTTGGTAGAGCATGCAGTCTTGATCTCAGGGTTGTGAATTCGAGCCCCACATTGGGTGCAGAGATTACTTAAAAATAAAATCTTAAGAAAAAAAGGGGTGCCTGGGTGGCTCAGTCGGTTAAGCGTCTGCCTTTGGCTCAGGTCATGATCCCAGGGTCCTGGGATCGAGCCTCACGTGAGACTCTCTGTTCAATGGGGAGCCTGCTTTCCCTCTCCCTCTGCCTGCCACTCCCCCTGCTTGTGCTCTCTCTCTCTGTCAAATAAATAAATAAAATCTTTTTTAAAAATCTTAAAAACAACCCAAACTGTAAATGTGTATATGTACATATATGTGTTTCTGTAAAGAAAAAGACCCAAAAGATCTCCATCTGTTAACAGTGGCCGCCTCTGGGGAGGATGGAGGGATTGGGGAGAGCAGTGATGAAGGGAAGTTCAAGGTATTTCAAGTGTTATTTCCATTATTCGGAAGGAGAATAGGGACGCCTGGGTGGCTCAGTCAGTTAAGTGTCTGCCTTCAGCTCAGGTCATGATCCCAGGACTCTGGGATCACCCTGTGTTGGGCTCCTTGCTCAGCAGGGAGGTTGCTTCTCCCTCTTCCTCTGCCCCTCACCCCATTTGTGCTCTCTCTCACTTGTTCTCTCCCTCAAATAAATAAATAAAATCTGTAAAAAAAAAAAGGAAGAAAGAATTTTTCTTTATTTATCTTAGTAATCTCTATACCCAATGTGGGGCTTGAGCTCATGACCCCAAGAAGAAGAGTTGTATGCTCTTCCAACTGAGCTAGCCAGGCTCTCAGAGAATATATTTATGTATGACTTTTATAATTAGATTTTTAAGTCTTAGCACTATTAGGAGGTACTGAGATATGGAAGACACTTGCTCCTAATCTAAATGGTCCTTGGCTCCTGTGGGTTTTGAGGGCTTATGTTTACATTCTAGATTTTCTGTCTCATTTCTCACTCTTCTTATCATTTATTGTTGGAGATTATTCCCTTAGCCTGCTGTTAACAGCCCTGTAATTATCCGTGGGAATGAAAACTAGATAACCAAACCCCAAAGGGTAGTGTGTGTAATATGTTCTGAGCAAGGGTTTGTACTTGAACAAAAGGCATGAGCTCCAGGGCTCTGAGCAGGAACTGTCTCCCAGCTCTTGGTGGTGTAGTCCACTACCCCCCTGTTTTAAATAATTAAAAACAAAAAACCCTCTTTTCATTGAAGCATAATACAAAAACAGAATATTGCCTAAATCCTGTGTACAGCTTAGTGAGTCATCACAAAGTAAACATACCCATGTAACAACCACCACCCCGAAGTGGGATGGTCAGTCTTTTTAACTTTGCCATTCAGCCGGGTGTCCAAGGCTATCTCACAGTGGTTTAACTTGAGATCCTTTTATTTCTAATGAGTTTGAGCACGTTTTCCCCACATTTCTTGGCCACGTAGATGTGCATGCTTGAGTCTCTCGCCATTGTTGACGTGACTTCTACCCCCCTCCGGATTTATTGAGCTATAATTGACATATAACGTTGTGTAAATGATGGGCATTTATGGATCAAATTTTGCAGATCTCAATGTTATTCAGAAGATCAACTCTTTTGTTGATTTTTGAGCAACAACAAACGCTTTAGTCATTGACAATCGTATTTTGAGATCATTTCTACCAAGAATTGTATTATGGATTGGAAAAAAGATAGTCATACACTGTGTGAGACTGAGAGAACACGAGGGCAGAGGGTGGGGGCAAGGAGGAGAAGGCGGGAAGCAAGGACAGGTGGGGCAACAGTGAGAGACAGAGACTCAGAGACAAGGTTGACTCCAAATCATCCTTGGAGTCCAAACAGCAGAGGAAGAATGACTTCCCTCGAGTAGGAGATTCAGAATGTCCTGCTTCATAACTTGATAAATCCGTTAGCCCATGGCAGGAACATTTTTGTTCTTCCAGTTTCCTGTGGAGATTATGTGGATCTGGGGAGATATTTGGTTATTACTATTTTGCTTCATTTCCTTTGCAGAGTTATGTGAATTAAAGGAAAAAAAGAGGAAAGATTTGAAGCCAGACCAGATAGAGAAAAAAAAAAAAAATCAGAAGGATTTATAGACTAAACTCGAAGGTTTAGACATTTTATTTTTAACTTTCTAAGGAGGCAACAGATTGACTCTGAAGCAATAGGCAAAGTGAGGAAAGGTTGGAGGTGTATACTAGAGCTTTCTTTGTGTGTGTGTGTGTGTGTTTTTTTGTCATCTCTTTAGAAAATGGATCGAACATTCTAAACTAAGGGAAATAAACTTTAAAGTCGTGGAATTCAACCCTATAGTCCTCAAAGGGAAGATCAGACCAGATTCATCAAGGCCCGAACTGCTTCAGCCTGTGAGTAGGAAACACGCCCGTGCTGGGGACAGTCTTTGGTGAGACCCTTGCTCAGTGTGGAGCACTGGCCACTGGGATGCGGATGGAATATTTCTGAAGCAGTGTTAGCTCTCCACCAAGCTCTGCTTATTTATAATTTATACCACCTGCTCCAGAAGGATTTAAGATGGTTTACATAAATATAATGAAGCTATTAAAGAAGAAATGAAGCGTAAGGAAATGTAGGATGCCTTTATGTGTGTGAATATGCCTTAGGGGTTGGGGGTAGGGGCCAAATTGTGAGGCCAGGAAAAAATATTCCCAACCCACAGGCTGTTGTGTGTACTGCAATGGGACATTAAATTTAGCCGAGTATCCCAGTAGCTAAGGAAAAACAGTAGCATGGTTGATTATATACCTCATAGGATCAACTAAGATATTTGCAGGAGACACCCACTGTTTTCCCTAGCATTGGGAATCTTAAGGTATTTTACTGCAAGAGTTCTTACAAAAGGGACTCTTTCTTGCATAAAGAGTAGGGTTGATGGCGGGTTCACAGAAAATGTAGCCATGCTCTACATATAGCTGTTACTGAAATCCATCCTCAAAAATGTAATGAATTCTAAGCCCTTCGATGACATGACCTTTTCCCAATTCCTTATATTTATTATCAGAGCGTGAGCTGAGATGCGATTTTGGATTAAGTGGTGCGGCTAATCAAACTGCTTGACTCCCACCCTCCGCTCTTGCTTGTCTGACTTTTTTCTCGTCCAAGGAGCTAACAGGTTAAACTTGCGGCTGGGATGCCTCTGTGCCCGTGTGCGTGCGTGTGCGTGTGCGTGTGCATGCGTGCGTGTGTGTGCGCATGCGTGCGTGAGGCTTAGTTGACAGCCGTCAAATTACTAGTGTAGAGGAGAGCAGGCAATTTGTGGCCTGAAAGACTGACCAGGAAGGAAGCCTGTGACCCCCGCTGTAGCAGTTCACAGAGGGGAAGGTGTCCCCTCACCGTCTGGGCAGCTGTGATCTGCCAGGGCTGGTTGCGGCCCCGGGCCCCCATCCCTGGGCACCGGGACGCTGCGGTGAGGCATCTCTGCAGCCTGTTGTATCTCGCTCCGCACCCAGAGCTGAGCTGAGGCCAAGGTCAGAGCCACCCCTCCACCGCTGGAAGACGCGGAGCCACAAGCCTCTTGCCCACCATCGCTTCCTTTGTTGTTTTAACAGCTGAACTTTGTTCGATTTTATCTCCCTCTGCTTATCCATCGACATGAGAAAGTCATCTATTTGGACGATGACGTCATTGTGCAAGGTATACTCGCTGACTGCCAAGAACACTCGGAAAAGGAGCAGCTGATAAGTAGAATGACTTCCCTTCTTCATTTTCCAAATAGCTAGGCCGCCCAGTGATTTTGACTTGTGTATTCAAGTCGGGAGAATAGTAAGTGTTGTAAGTGTGGGAATAATTTGAAAACAGGGGTGGATACTCACTTCCCTGGACAGTCCAGCTGACCTTCTGAGAGCCACTGTCAAAGTCAGCAATAAATAACCTAGTAGCCTTCCCTTTCTCTGCACCCCTAGAATGTAGGGCAATGAAGTCTCCCTGATGACATTCTGAGAAGTGAGCTAAGTTTGGGTGTTTCAGTGTGGCTTTCTGTCTCCCACGTTCAAATAAGATGAGCACAGGTGTGGAAGTTACATGGCAACAGAAGTAAAGAAATCGGCCCAGTGCCGATCCGAGCTTACCATCAAGTGGCTTTCTGAACAGAGACAAGCTAGATTATTAAGTCAGTCGCCACTTGAAATTGGGATCACATACTTTTCCTCCTTAGCAAAATCGGGGACTGTTTGACATTCTAAGGCTCTATCTGGCTCTAAAACAAATGCTATAATATTTTAACTCCTGGTGTTTCTAAATTCAGGTGATATCCAAGAACTCTATGACACCACCTTGGCCCTGGGCCACGCGGCAGCTTTCTCTGGTGACTGCGATTTGCCCTCGGCTCAGGACATGAACAGATTTGTGGGGCTGCAGGTGGGCTCGCTGCTCGGAGGTCCTGCCTTCGCCCTGCTGCTCCCCTCCCTTCCCGTCCCCACAGCTCACGATAATCTAACCTGGGAGAACCCTGCCCGGGAGGGGCCTGGCTGCCCGTTCCACCCCGGCTCCGTGCGTACCGAGGCTGGGGCAAGATAACCCTGCAAAGTCCCTCTCTCCTTGTCTGAAACACGGCAACAATAGTCCCTGTTTTTTTCTGTTTTTGTGAGCCGCGATGCGATAACATGATGCCCAAGTTCCAGCCTGCAGTAGTGCTCCAGAAGGGACCCTTGTTCTGTAGGTGGCTGGAACCACACTCTCTGTCCGAGATGGGGGTTTACTGTAAGAGACTCCCTGAACTTTGGGTTCTGTTTTCAGAGTTGTGATCATCGCTTTCCCCCATCCCCTTTCAATAGAGGAAAATACTGATTTTCCTCAAGGGTAAAGAGCTTCTCGCCCTGGAGGAAATGAGGAAAGTTGAACCTCTATGGACTACTGAAGCCAAAAGGATGGCTTTAAAATACAAGGTGGTGCTAAGAAGCAAATGCTGTTCTCCAAAAAAAAGTTCCGGAAATAATTTTATGTGTGGCAATAGAGATGTGACACACTTTGAGGCGTCGGCTTTCAGGCCACCCCCGACTTGGTCAAAAGCTCGGCCCTGTCACTTAGTAGGTTTGTAACCCTGGGCCAAGTTACTTACCAGTCATCTTCTCCCTCAGTTGTCCAACAGAGGTAGTAAGAGTACTTCCCTTGTAGTTATTGTGAGAATTAAATTAGTTAATCCGTGGAAAGCGACTGCGTGCAATTAATGAGGTAATGTGTGCAAAGTTCCCAGAACTGCCTGGTGCCCAGAATTTGCTCATGTGTTTCCATTATTTCCCTGTTACCTTTGAGCATCACACTGAGGTGGGTTAGGACAGCTCGTGCAGGTGAAACAGTATTATGTCCTGCCACATGCCACACCCATTCAGCAACTTCCTATATGCCTGACACTGTTTTAGGTACCAGTGAGACAGTAAACAAAACTAAAATTCCTGCCTTTGTGTAGCTTACATTTTGGTGGGAAGAGACAGTCAGTAAACAAAGTATTTAACGGAGGATCAGGGTGCAGGTCGGGCTGTACATTAAATTGGGTGATCAGGGAAGGCTCCCCTGAGGTGGTGTCACTGAGCCTACACCTGAAAGAACTGAGGGAACCGCCTCAGCAGATATCTAGGGGAAAAACAGTCCAAGGAGAGGTAATGGCAAGTTCAAAGGTCCTGAGGCTGGAGTGTGTCTGTCTTGTATGGAAGGAACAAGGAGATCGGTGTGGCAGAGGAAAGCGGGGCGAGAACAGACGTTAGAAAGGTAATGGCAGTGGGGGCAGATGGCACAGAGCGTAGCAGCCCATTGTAGGAACTCAGGCTTTTACTCTGAGATGGGAAGCCACTGGAGAGGCTTTGAGCAGATAAGTGACAGAAACAGAGTGGAGTTGAAAAGGGTGGCAGCAGGAACAGTTTAGGAGGAGCTTGCAGAAATCCTGTGAGTGGCAATGACAGCCTGGACTGGGAAGGTAGCAGTGTGGACAGTGTAGTTTGGAAGACGAGACCAACAGGATTTGCTGACGGATTTGGATCAAAAGTGAATGAGAAGGAACTACAGAGGACCTAACGACCCTGGGCTTTTTGCCTAGTTATCTGGAAGAATGGAGTTGCCAGTAACTGAGGTGGGGCAGATTGTCAGGAAGCAGGTTTGGGACAGGACTGGGATCCGTGTTTGGATGTAAGGGGAGCTGCCTTGTTAAGCCTCCAGGAGACAGAGTTGGCAGATGTGGCAGAAGCTGGGAATTCAGAGACATCAGGACCGGCTACACGGATAGCATTTTGAGCTATGAGACTGGATGAGGCTGTCGAGGGAGTTAGTGCTAGAGACAGGAACAGGTGCTGGAAGAGAGGCTGGGGAAGGGAGAAAACCAGCCAGGGACACTAGGAAGTGGCTGGGGACACAGTAGGAAACCCAGAAATACTGCATGGTGGTTTCAGGAAAATGACTATTTTTCAGAAACAAAACATTTGTTCAAAAGCGTATCCCATTCCTTTCTAGAATACATACATGGGCTATCTGGACTACAGGAAGAAGACCATAAAAGACCTTGGCATAAGCCCCAGCACTTGCTCTTTCAATCCGGGTGTGATTGTGGCTAACATGACGGAATGGAAGCACCAGCGCATCACCAAACAACTGGAGAAGTGGATGCAAAAAAATGTGGAGTATGTGTAAACCTCTCTACCATTTTCCATGCTTGGCAACAGAATTATTCAGTTAATTTTCTATGCATAACTCGGGTTAGAAAGATTTCACAGACATCTTAGATCAGATTTTCTTACAGAGGCGCTGATGAGAAAGAATGGGGACAAGAGATGAAAATCTAGTCTCAGATGGTATGTCAGCGGAAGCGAGATCCTGCAGTATCTTATCATGCAAACATTTTTCTAATGAACTAATAATGTAATTTTAAGTCCTCTCCTAGAAGCCTAGTGAACCTTCTCCACTGAAAATCATTTATCTCAGTTGGGTTTCTCCTTACATAGATTTGTTTTTAAGAGTGATTTTATAAACTCAACTTTGTTTTTGAAGGTTGAATTTTTAAAAATGTATCATTTTTCATTGTCGAAGTTCTAAAGTAGAGGGAAAAAAAACCCCTCTAACACAACCACTATTACTGTGTCGTTGTATTTCCTGTCCATCTTTTTTTATCTGGGTATTTTAAATACCATCATAACCTTGAATTTTAAGTAGTTATTCTACATAATGTAGGATCAGAATTTGATCTTCTGTATTTGCCATAAAAAAGGCTGAAAATTAAAATGGCAAAATGCTATGCTGTGAGTCTAGACAAATTATATGGGAATTCATGGTATTCTTACAATTTTGTGTAAGTCTGACAATTTTCAAAATAAAAAGTTGGGGGAAAATGAAAAACTGTTGTCTTACTACATAGTGGGAGACTGTCTTACATCTTTCAAAATTAGTAGATTCTACTTTATCTGAGTCTGTGTGGCTCGAGGCCAAATGTTGCTTTCTATTCCATTTCTTAGGGAAAATCTCTACAGCAGCTCCCTGGGAGGAGGGGTAGCCACCTCCCCGATGCTGATTGTGTTTCATGGGAAATACTCCGCAATCAACCCCCTGTGGCACATAAGGCACCTGGGTAAGTATTTTAGGGAGACAGCACAAATGTGCATCTTACAGATCTGTGGGCACAGGGGGGACGGTGTGCTATAGCACCAGCTGCCTCAGTTCAGATCCTCCAGGCGATCTTGGAGGTGATCCATTAAGCTTCGTTGCGCAGATTCTACAAATGCAGCTGATAAAAATGGCTTGAGAGGTGCGTTTCTAGGAATTCATGGGAAGCAATTAGACTCATGCTTAGCATACAGTATGTGCTCAATAAACATTACCTACTTTTACAATAGAACTTTCACTGTCAGAACTTTTCACTTGCCTTTATTGCTCTCTTGCAGTAGCTTGCAGTGGGCAAAACCAAACGAATTAGCATAATGGTTTCTGATGCATCAAGATAACTCACAACTTCTCTTTTAAAAAGTTGATTCCTGGGCGCCTGGGTGGCTCAGTTATTAAAGCGACTGCCTTCGGCTCAGGTCATGATCCTGGAGTCCCGGGATCGAGTCCCGCATCGGGCTCCTTGCTCAGCAGGGAATCTGCTTCTCCCTCTGACCCTCTTCCCTCTCATGCTCTCTTTCTGTCTCTCTCAAATAAATAAATAAAATCTTTAAAAAAAAAAAGTTGAGGGCGCCTGGGTGGCTCAGTTGGTTAAGCGACTGCCTTCGGCTCAGGTCATGATCCTGGAGTCCCAGGATCGAGTCCCGCATCGGGCTCCCTGCTCGGCAGGGAGTCTGCTTCTCCCTCTGACCCTCCCCCCTCTCATGTGCTCTCTCTCTCATTCTCTCTCTCTCAAATAAATAAATAAATAAAATCTTTAAAAAATAAATAAATAAATAAAAAATTAAAAAAAGAGTTGATTCCTGACTGTGTACCATGTGAGTCTTCTATTCAGTCTTCACTGCAGGAGTGCAGGTTCTACGATATGGACCGGAATCCCAACTCTGCTATTACCTATGTTGGGCAAATTATTCAACCTTTCTGTGCCTTAGTTCTCCATTTGTAAACTGAAGCTAACAGAACCTTATAAAGTTTTTATAGGGAATAAATTACCTAATACATGTAAATTGCTTAGCACAGAGTCTGGCGCAGAAGACACATTCATTCAAACACATGGCCACAATCCCTTAGCCAAAAGCACTGGGCCAGACCTGTTTAGAAATGAGAAAGGTTTTGAATTTTAAAAAGGTAATGTGATGCATACATTTATGTTATGCAATATTCTGAGTGGGATCTAGGTTTTGCTACCAAAAAAGTTATTAAAAATCCTTTTGTTCTCAGACATTTGGGCATTATTTTAGAATTGGAGACAATGGCTTATGGATGTATATTTACTAAGTATCTTCTACACTGTAAAGAACTGAGCTAGGTTTTGGTGACAAAGGTGAATATTAGTTCTAATTCTCAGAACAGCCTGCAAGGTGGTATGTCCCTTACTCTCCCTTTTAAAAGAAGGGGCACATAAAACTATAGAAGCTGGTCCTGTCTCCTCTTACTGATTCTGTACAGATTTCCTTCTGCCTCATTACCAGAATCTTCCTCGATTTTCCTGAGCATCTGTGTGCACACAGAGGCAACACAGGGAAGTTAAGGACACTAGTGTTCCATCTGGTTTGATTTATAATAATGTTGGGTTCACTGTTAGGTCAAATACCAGTATTTCCATGAAATGAATGTGCAGAAAATCCCATCAAAGTTGTAGGTCTATAAAAAAGGTTGTGTAGGAATAGTTATGCGGAGCTTAGATTGATAAGGTTAGAGCATTTTATGATCTTGAACAGAGTCTCAATCACATTTTATGAAATATCTAACTGGTAAGTAGGAAGGCACAGAATCTTCCTAAGGGAAAGAAATCATTTTTCTTTGTAGAACAGAGACTACATCTGTGAAGGTTTTGGAATCAGGGAAGTCTGCAAAGTAAATCTACACAGAAATCATTTGAAAAATGATTCAGTGTTAGGGCGTTTTGGAAGCAGAAAGCAATGTAACACTAATGGGTATTAAGTTTGGGTCTAAGCAGGTAGCCTTAAGATTTTAAAAATGTATGATATATATTTAGTTAAAAGCAAACTGCAAGCCCATAGGGAGTCCTCCGATCATGGAGCAGACAGATGATGTCCCCAGGTGGAGACTCTAAGGCGCTTCTTCCCAAATGAGCATTTCCTTTGTAGAGTCTTTGGAAGTTGATAATTATTCCAATTATGTTACCACAGCCTGAAACACCTAGCTCCTCTTCCACGACCGCCTTCACAGCTATGTTTGTAATGGAAGATGGCTTTTTGTTTTTTTCTTGCATCATGTGAAGCTGGACTAACACACAACTCCAGCTATCCACCCTCTCTTAATTAAGGGATTTTCAGTTTTAAAAAAATATTAAATTCTCTTTTGCAGAAAGAAAATCTAAAACAAGGGGCGCCTGGGTGGTTCAGTCATTAATCATCTGCTTTTGGCTCAGGTCATGATCCCAGGACCCTCCCTCTCCCCCTCCCTCTCTCTGATAAATAAAATTTTTTTTAAGATTTTTATTTATTTATTTGACAGAGAGAGAGACAGCAAGAGAGGGAACACAAGCAGGGGGAGTGGGAGAGGGAGAAGCAGGCTTCCCACTGAGCAGGGAGCCTGATGCGGGGCTCGATCCCAGGACCCTGGGATCATGACCTGAGCCGAAGGCAGACGCTTAACGACTGAGCCACCCAGGCGCCCCTGATAAATAAAATCTTAAAAAAAAATAATGGACTTGTATTCAATTTTCAATCTAAAAATTTTACTTTCTAACAAGCCTATTTCTTTCTTTTAAACACCATGAAGGCTGGAATCCAGATACCAGATATTCAGAGCATTTTCTGCAGGAAGCAAAACTACTCCACTGGAATGGAAGACATAAACCTTGGGACTTCCCTAGTGTTCACAATGACTTATGGGAAAGCTGGTTTGTTCCTGACCCTGCAGGAATATTTAAACTCAATCACCACAGTAGCTGATATAACTTAACATTTTAAGTATTTCCTACACAAAAATGTGGAATTGTGCATTTGTAGCCCTACTATTTCATTGTTCTTTATGAATAGTACCTTTGAGACATATGATCCACAATGGAAACCACAAAGACTACTGTGTGCAAACAGCACCCTGGGTCACGCATGCATGGACTCCTTAAGTACGGGGGGGTTACGGAAATCACGATGAGGTGCGTGAGATGTACTGTTGGAAGGAAATAAACCCGTCTTGGTTTCAGCAATCAATTTGCTTAACTCTGAATGACAACTTGTATTCACAATTTTTAAAAATTTCTAGATGTGTTTTTTCACACACATCTTTTTTTAGGTATTTTTCAACAGGTTGCAAGTCTTGTCTTTTGTAAAACAATATATTACATTTAAAACATGAATGTCTGAAAAAATAAAATATTTGCAGATTTTCTAATGATTTTCAGTATATGTATTATTCTACACATTAAACATAATACAGGGTAGACCGACCTCACATGTAAGGGTGGAAAGAATACCGGTCACTCCTACTGCAGAAAAACTTGCAACTTAGGATAATGATTCTTAATATTTTTATTGTAAAAACCATCAAGACTTTCAAATGAATTTAAAAACTTTTTCAATATTATTTAATGAAAAAGTCTCATATTGTCATGTATAGGATATATCAACATTTACTACTCATCTTTCATATGTAATGAAAAACACCATTATTGTATGCTTGGAAAATCCTCAAACCCCCTAATGAGTGTCCATCATAATTTAAAGGGTATTTTCTCCACTCAAAAAAAAAAAAAAATCTATTGTAAGGCTACAATCATTATATACCAAAGCAATTCCTACTTACATGCTTTACATAGTCCCATGAAAAAATAATTCAATTGTTCCTAATCCCTGATGCAAGGCACTTCCAAGCACCTGCATAAAATATCCGTGTAAACAGCAGTACAGTACGAGTTAAATAACATGGGCTGAATAACTTTTACACAGTTTGAACTAGACTAAGGGATATATAAAATCCATCATAGCCACAGCTAAAAAGCATGTTAAGATTCACAAGACTTTGTTTCTCTTATTACACAGAGAACAGGCCATATAATCTCTTCGGGAAAAAAAAAAACACCTCATAAATATTTTCATATTGAAAAACAGCATGCTCCCTGGGTATGTATGAAATCAGGATATTCAGAAGTGACCAGGAATAACTGCAAATGGCATTTCTGAATACCCAGCTTTACTATCCACCAGGCCTAGTAGTCTGGACTCTTTGTAGCACCATGGAAAAGGCATAAAATCACAAAGGTATGTTACTTCAAACTAACCCTGCCATGAGGCTCAATTAGTCCACAGTAACAGACAATGATGTAGAGATTTTAAAAATTATTAGATACACCTAGCAAGAAAAAATCTGTTATCTTAATACACCTCATGTACATAAAGCACCAATTTAAATCAGATTATCAAACATCTCCAGCATGTTGTTGCTCAGCCTAAGAGTTCATTTCTCACCACTTTCCACGTTATATACCCTTAAAACCGAGGAGGATAAAATTAGAATGGTGATAGATATTGTACGAAAAATTCAGTTCCTTCCCTATCAAATGTATGTCTCTCAAGTAAAACACAGAGGAATAAGTAACAAACTTAAAAAAGGTCTACTGCATTCTCTGGAACTTACCATCCCAGCACAACAGTTTCTACCTGTACTACAGGATTAACACCCGGGGTGACGAGGTCAAAGCCAGACCTCGGTGCCCCGTCAGATAAGGCCAGGCTAGCCTTGCTGCTGGAAGGCCATACTTTGTATTTCTACTGCTGGGCATCTCTCACAAACACTCCCCATTGGTGAGGCAAAGAAGTGTGAGTGTAAATACGACTCAGGGAGCCCATCAAACACCACTAAAAACTACCAAATGAGCCTCCACTGTGGGTTAACTTCATATACAAAAACGAACACATTTACCTCTTTATCAGTGGTAATTAATATTAGAATGCCCTTCTTAGGCATAAAAGGAATAATGTCTATCTGGGTTTATGCACAGTTAATAATCAAGTATAAATATTCAGACTGTTTCATTTTAAAATTACAGATTAAAAGTGACTCCCAAAAGAAAATTAATTTCTTCATAAGTGAAGTATAGTTTATAAAAAGCTGGAATGATGGTTAATTCAAATACAAAAACTCATACACAAAAAACCCTACTTTTTCTTTCCCAACTTACTTAGGTTCATACAGTTGATTCTACCACACAACTGTACTATCATTATATCACAGAGTAAAATACTAATAAAATGCCTCAGTTAGCAAACTGAGGGCCACTTCTTGACAACCGCATTAAAACTGCAGCATTTAGGTAGAGCTGAGAAGCACCACTCTTAAGCGTGGTTTCCTTCGTCTTGTTCCAGCATCCCACAATGATTATTAAAGGAAGAAATCTGGTCTGTAAACGACTCGGTCATCCACTGCCCGTTTGGAATGTCACTGAAAGTTGATTCTCCACTGTCAGCTGCCAGGGGGGAAAAGAATGTTAGGATTAATTTATTCTATCTAAAAACGTTACAGGATTTAACTAGGAGGTCTGAGCAGTCCAGTGAAGGGAAACTGCTATTAAGATAGTTACACAAGCTTCTTGATTACAATGATAAATCTCTGTTCTCTCAGCAGACACAGGACTGAGAATCCCTCAACTGTTACTCATGGAGGGAATGCGATTAGGATGACTCGGTGACTTAGAGAAAATCAGCTGCACACGCGCGTGTGGCAGAACATCAGATAACCATCGCATTTTCACTACCGGCCACTGACAAGATTTCCATGGTCCCATTCCTAAGCGTCAATAATTCATTCTCTTAAAAACAAAAACAAAAACAAAAAAAAAACCACCCCTTTTCCCCAGTCCTGACAAAACCAAGCGTTTGAAAGGAATGCACATCTGGAGGGGAACATACTTAGCCCCCTGGAAGAGAAGCTGCAAGGGTCGCCACTGCACGGATTTTCTGCATAAGCACCGCCGTACGCTGCTTCATAACCTGGGTCATACTTTTCTTCCTTAACAGCCATCTTCTTTGCATCCTCTGTGAGGACAGTGAAAGGGATTTAAAATGGATTTTATACAATGGTTTTGAAAACAGCTTTCTTCAGAAGTCACCACGAACAAATCTTTTTCTAGTTCATGTATCCTGAGACGTATCTTCTGTTATCTTTTAAACTCTTTATAACATATACTGAATTAACTCATAGGAACTGTAAAAGCCTGTTAGATTTAATTTCAGGTGGGCTATGATGTTTCTTGTATCCTCAACATCTGCAGGAGTACCCACATCGGATGACTTTAGTAAAAGGAGATTTTTTAACAGTGACTAATGTCTATTGTCAGAGCACTTTGGCTGCAAATACAACTTTTCTTTTCTCCTGCTTTTAAATCCACAACATGCTTCCTGTAATGTACAGATCCATGAAATGAATAAATGGGGTGAAAACGGGAACACACCTTGGGCTAATTGTAGATCAAACGTATATTGCACCTCTTGAACGTCTGTGTTTCGTTCAATGCCTTTCAACTGATCTCTCAAGTCTTTCAGCTTAATGTAGTAATGAACTTTGTCCTGGGCTCGAGGAAACTGAGCACATCTTGCACTGGATGATGGCATAACATAGCAGAGCTAGAATTAAAGATTTTTTTTTTATTTTCTATTTGACAGAGAGAGATACAGCGAGAGAAGGAACATAAGCAGGGGGAGTGGGAGAGGGAGAAGCAGGCTTCCTGCTGAGCAGAGAGCCCGATGCGGGGCTCAATCCCAGGATCCTGGGATCATGACCTGAGCTGAAGGCAGACGCTTAACGACGGAGCCACCCAGGCGCCCCCAGAGATAGAATTATAAAATTTTATAGTTACGTAAATCTTACAAGTCTACCAAATCCACTTACATAGAGAGGAAAAAATTTTTTTCTAGGTTAATAATGATGCTTATCACATAATTAATACATGCAAACTGAAAAAAAGTAGTTGTGTTTGAGTTCAAATTTGTAAAATTTATTTATTACAAAGTCAATAAATCAAAAATGATGAGGCGTCTGCCCCATGTTCATTTGTCAATTAATAGTCTTGTCTTTTTTTTTTTAAGATTATTTATTTATTTATTTGAGAGAGAGAGAGAGAGAGAGAATGAGAGATAGAAAGCACGAGAGGGAAGAGAGTCAGAGGGAGAAGCAGACTCCCTGCTGAGCAGGAAGCCCGATGTGGGACTCGATCCCGGGACTCCAGGATCATGACCTGAGCCGAAGGCAGTCGTTTAACCAACTGAGCCACCCAGGCGCCCAATAGTCTTGTCTTTTTAATAGACAAGACTGTTCACAATTCTAAAGGTACAAAAGGGCACAGAGGTATACAATGAAAGTCCTCCCTCCCAATGCTACCTCTATCCACCTCGTTCTCTTCCCAGGGCAATCAAAGTTGCTGGTTCCAGAGGTATTCCATGAATATACAATCAAATGTGTCTAATACATGTACTCTCCCACACCCTTTTTAAAAAACACACGGATGGTAACATGCTCTCTATTCCCTGTTCTACACCTTGCTTTTTGACTCGACAGCACATTCAGAGATAATTCTGTACCAGATATCTAGATTAGAGTAAAAAGATGGTCTTTTTTATTGCTGTGTAGTACTTGTATATTTATTTAACCAAGGCCCAGCTGTGGGCATTTAGGACATTTCCAGTCTTTTTTTTATTATAAGCTGTAGTGAAAAACCTTGTACAAATTTAATTTTGAGTATGTGTGAGCATATCTGCTGGATAAATGCCTAGAATTGGAAGGACTAAGGAGAAAGACATTTGCATTTATCATCTGGGATACTGACAACAAACTGTCCTTCATAGAATACAACATATATAATAATACATACCACATATATATCAAAGAGTGAGGCTGCTAGACTATGGAATTTCCAGTTGCAATTTCTATATTGGCCTCCATAACATTACAGAAACAAATTATTTAGTTTTGTTTAGAAGACATTTAGAAACTCCTGACTCATAAAGATGTGTAAGTGCAAATGCTACCAGGTTTTGTAATAGCACATTTTCCCATCCCAAGATATTCTTCAATTAAAATGATCCAGAGGGGGGCGCGTGGGTGGCTCAGTCGGTTAAGCATCTGCCTTGGGCTCAGGTCATGATCTCAGGGTCCTGGGATACAGTCCTGTATCAGGCTCTCTGCTCAGTAGGGAGTCTGCTTCTCCCTCTGCCCCTCCCCCTGCTCATGCCTGGGTGCTCTCTCATTCTCTCTCCCCCCCTATCTCTGAAATAAATAAAATCTTTTCAAAAATAAATAAAATAAAATAAAATAAAATGATCCAGAGGGGCGCCTGGGTGGCTCAGCTGGTTAAACGTCTGCTTAAGCTCAGGTCATGATCCTGGAGTCCCAGGATCAAGCTCCGAGTTGGGCTCCCTGCTCAGAGGGGAGTCTGCTTCTACTTCCCCCCTCTTGCTCCTGCTCATGCGCTCTCTCTCTCTCTCAAGTAAATAAAATCTTTAAAAAGATCCAGAAATTTGAAAAAGTATTTTTTTAATTTTATTTGTCAGAGAGAGAGAGAGCGAGCATGAGCAGGGGGAGGGGCAGAGGGAGAGGGAGAAGCAGGCTCCCTGCTGAGCAAGGAGCCCGATGTGGGACTCGATCCCAGGACCCTGGGATCATGACCTGAGCCAAAGGCAGACACTTAACCATCTGAGCCACCCAGGTGTCCCAAAAAAGTAGTTTTTTATTTCAGAGCTGAATCACTAACATCATCAATAACTGTATTTCATAACAAAGAATACATTTTAAAAGATACAAGTACTCCCAGCTCATTATAAGAGGTAAAACTACCTGTCGTGATATGATTCAAGTTCACTTAGTATTGCACTATTATGGCCACATATATCCAAGAGATGTACCTGAGCCTCATCTGGCTCTTAAGGGACAATAATGCAGGAATTTATAGAAAGCCATGAACTCAGCTATACAATTTTACCAAAGTAGACAAGTGTAGGCCTCGGTTTAAAGAAAGACCGGGGCTACCACCTACTTTATCAATCACCTATTTTAAACAAGTTAAAAACAGAAGAAATTTAAAGAAGTTCAAATGTAAGTGGCAGAAACTTTATTCTGAAGTCTCCATAAAAACCTGGTGGGACACTGGCTTCTCCATCATTTAAAGTACTGTCTAGAACACATGGGTCTATGCGTGTACGTTGTTTTTTAAAAAGCTGTAAACAAAACTTAAAACTATATTTAAGAAGCAAAATTTCAGCCAAATGTCTGCAGAAGCTCTGGGAAATGACAGAGTTTGAAAACCACTGTTCCTTCATGATGCCTCATGTACAAGGCCATAGTAAAGAGTATCGCGTGCCAGTCAGACTGGCTGGATGTCTGTCTGCAACTGAGCTCTATACTATTTATACGGCTCTAAAATGAAACTGGGCTAAGATATAAAAGCAGGGGGTGATGAGCAGTTTTACTAATCGGGAGCATGTCCATATTTATATATTTGTTTCATACTGAATAAGGCCTACTCTACTTGAATTTGGTAAGAATATGCCATTAAATAGATTTTGAATGTATGTTAGCTAGCTCCTTCCAATATTTTAACCAAATAACATCAGTAAGACATTTTATCTGACAAATGTTTCTTTTTTTTAACTACCAGTACCTGAATTAATCTGCAACTATATAACTTTGAGTTATATACATAACTTTTTTGAGTTGATATATAACTATTACTCAACAAAATCCAGGTTTTTTTATGGCATCAATTACAATGAACAGGACAAATAAAAAAGGGAAGCTAGCTAGAAAAAAATTCATATTTAGCTGATTTACAAATGTAATTTTAAGGACTTACAGTTTCTGTGTCTGGGATCTTATGGGGCTGAAGTCCAAATTCTAAGTTTTTAACCTTAACTCCAAAAACTTCTTTGCTAAAAATTTCATAAATACCTAAAATGAAATACAAACATATTTACATTGCCCATAATGTTAGCAAAGAAAAAAGATAAAATTTAAAAGTAAATCTTACATTTTCCATTAAACACTGCTATTCGTGGCTGATATTTCTGTAATTTCTGCACTAGAATACGTCCTCCTTCACGAAATTCTTTACTAAAATTGAATTAAAAAGTAGTCAAAATATAAGTATGGTAATATTTATAATATGCTAAATTGAGATATCTGTGAATAAAAGATCGCTTCATGTATTTGTTAAGTCAGCTTGAACTAAGTACATATAGTATTCCAACGGTATATAAGGCATCTGCACGAACAAGTTCCAACCTATAAAAATAAATGTAATTACCTGGAAAGATCTTTGCTGCCTGGTGTTGTCCTTTCCACCATATTGGTAAATCCAATACCGTACTTCCCTGGTAAAGTGTGATCATCCATATGGTTCAGCTGGACTTCACTCAGGCCTGACATAAACAGACACTTCCCTGTGAAAATGAGAGTTCAGTTTATTTCCATATAGATCAAAGGTTTTTGCCCCATGAATCGATATGGTAGTCTACATTTTATCCTGAAAGTACAAAAAAAAAAAAAGATTTATGATATTTAAAAAATTATGGGTAAATACCATATCAAGCAATTACTATGTGTGAGGCCCTCTGCATGGATTATCTCATTTAATGATAACTATCTTATGAAATATTAATTTCTATTTTTATCCCTTTTTCACAGGGCAATTTAGGTAAATGGCTGTTGGAAATACACAGCTAGTCAGTGTAGGAAACTTCAAAACTGCTTGTTTTCCTTTCTAATAACTGGTAACACCACTACCTGCCCCTGGAATAACTTGAACAGATAAACATACACCAAGAGACCTGTAAGATTCAAACACCCTGATAGTGGAAGAAATGAAAAGTTCAAACTTTTCTAGAAATTTTTAAAAAATATGTCCTTAGTTCCAAAAATACATTACTGTATTTTTTGCCCTAAATTTATTTATTTATTTATTTATTTATCTATCTATCTATTTATTTATTTATTTATTTTTAAAGATTTTATTTATTTATTTGACAGAGAAAGACACAGCGAGAGAGGGAACACAAGCAGGGGGACTGGGAGAGGGAGAAGCAGGCCTCCCGCCAAGCAGGGAGCCCGATGCGGGGCTCGATCCCAGGACCCTGGGATCATGACCTGAGCCGAAGGCAGACGCTTAACGACTGAGCCACCCAGGCGCCCCTGCCCTAAATGTTTTTAATGTTACGTAGATAATGGATTAGTATTTCCTGAGGGCCTACTGCATGCCTTTTTTTATTGGGCCACGTTAGGTAAGTGGACTTACACAGAAGATAATACAACAGTAGTTATACTTGGTTTTAAAGCTCACTCTACAAGTATGAGGCTCTTTAATACTATTTTCTGCTAGATACGAAGTATCTGTGGAGAGTGTCTCCAATCACAAAATTTCTTAACTATTACAACTTGATCACCAATGATCAATGCACTTCATCTCTCCTAGGAAACAGATGAGCAGAAATCTGGAAAGGTTCGTATTCTGTCTGCACGGGCACACTGAGGTACTACTGTTACTAGCACCGCAGATAGCAAGTAAGAGAGAAAATTCATTAAAAAATATAGTAAAACTCCTATAAAACTATTAGCAAAACAAAGGAGGAAGTACTGCTTTTCTTGCCCCTCCACTCTCTTACACCAAAATGTGAACAAAAAACACCAAAAAGTTTCAAAACTTTTATTTTTGTGTACACATGCACAGAAAACATGTATGTATTTTTACAATCTCTCTTTTAAAAAACACAATTTGGTTTAAAAAAAAAACCCCAAACTATTAATAAACATACTAGTTTAAAAGTAAAATAATAAAAAAAAAGTAATTACTTACAAAAATGGTTTCCGGGTCCAGGGTAATGATGCCCTTTGTAAGCTGCCATTAGTCCTGGGTTTATGCCAATCTACAAAAAATGTTTATACAGTTAAGTCTTAAAAAGTAGGGTTTAAGCCTTAGGGCTTCTGTGGAGGAATGATGGACAAAACTAAATTTATTAAAATAAAAATTTAATCCAGCATAAGCAATATTGTTTTATCAGGTACCTAGTCTTGATCTGAACAAAGTATTCCTTTTTTTTTTTTTTTTAAGTAAGCTCCACACCTACTAAGCCACCCAGGGACCCCCAAAGTATTCCATTGTGAAGAAAAACATTCCCTTTTAAGTGTTGCTGTTGTTTTTAAAAACCAGTCTGGGGGCGCCTGGGTGGTTCAGCTGGTTAAGCACTCAACTCTTGATTTTGGCTGAGGTCATGATCTCAGGGTCTTTGAGATGGAGCCCGTTTCAGGCTCTGCCCTGGGTATGGAGCCTGCTTGGGATTCTCTTTCCCTCTCCCTTTGCCCCTCCCCCACCAAGGCTGCTTGCTCTTGCCTGTGTGGTCTCTCTCTCTCTCTCTTAAAAAACGACCAAACAGGGGCGCCTGGGTGGCTCAGTCGTTAAGCGTCTGCCTTCGGCTCAGGTCATGATCCCAGGGTCCCGGGATCGAGCCCTGTGTCGGGCTCCCTGCTCTGCGGGAAGCTTGCTTCTCCCTCTCCCACTCCCCCTGCTTGTGTTCCCTCTCTCACTGTGTCTCTCTCTGTCAAATAAATAAATAAAATCTTTAAAAAAATAAAAAATAAATAAATAAAAAATTAAAAAACGACCAAACAAAAACCAGTCAGGGGAAAAAAAAAGAGGGCAGAAACAGAGCCATAAATACAGAGAGCAAACTGGTGGTGGCCAGAGGCAGGGGGATGGGCAAAATGGGTGACAGGGAGTGGGAGGTACAGCATCGGGAGTATGGCTGACGGGACTGTAGTAGTGTGTGGGGACTGATGGCAGCTACACTTGTGGTGTGCATGGTATTGTCAAGTCACTATGTTGTACACCTGAAACTATGTAACACTGTGTCAACTATACTTCAATACAAAGAAAAAATAATAAAATAAATTTAAAAAACAAAGACTAGTTTGACCCCCACATGTCCCCAGGCCCCCACACCCGCCCAACTGGGCTGGAAAGAGAAAGGTCCTGGAGCAGCCGATCAACTGAGTCCAGGTCCAGCCACAGCTGGCCTCTCCACTCCCAGCAAGCAGCTTATTCCACATCAGCTACAGTTGTTGCACAGTGCTATTTCTGATAGTTACTGACAAAAACCAAAGCTCAAAATCAGTATTCTCATTTACGGAGACCTCACAAGTGTCATGCGATCTAAGGGATCCACATGGATTATTTTATCTAACTGCAACTCTATGAGAGAGGTATTATCATCACCCCTGCTTCACCAATAAGGGAACTGGTGATTAGGAAGGTTAAGGCTTGTCCAAGGTCATACCCATATGGCAGGATCTGAAACCCATCCTCTTAAACACACCTATATAATACAACCTCATGAAGGAGATACCATTTACTACCAAAAGGATTCTCAGAAATGGTTCTTTTCAACAAAATGCTATTTGCAAGAACAGAGGTTACGTAACATTAATCCAGCAATGTTATTTATAAAACCAAAATGCGGACAAAAATCCTTACAATCACAATGTCCAGATTGAAGGTCAAAATGTCCGGGAGGGTCTTGGTTAGAAGTTCAGCTTCTGAAACACCATTAAAACGGTCTACCTTTCTTTTCACTTTAAATGTGTCTGTAATTTTTTCTTGCTTTTCTTTTGCTTTTGTGGACTTGCCAGATTTTTTGGCCTCAGCAGGCTTTTTGGGTTCTACTGTTTTTTTTGGTTCTGTTGCTCTGGGTTTTCTTTTCCTTCCTTTTGGAGTCTCTGAAACACAGTAATTTCCAGAGTGTAGATGTAGATGAAGAAAAATGTAACTTGCAAACGTTAGGCAGCTTTCCCAGAAAATTCACCCTATCAACACTCTTACCTTCCCACCTCAGGGTCCTCTGCACCATTCTCCCCTTCCTTCACCCGGGGACTGGGTTCACGCAGCCCCACACCCCACCCCCTCTCCTCTGTTAGCTGTTCTTGGGATGAAACGTCCATAATAACCATAGACTGATTTTCCGCACACTCTTACTTGTCTTCTTGGCCTCCCCAGGGATACAAAGCATCTATACTATTTTATAGGAATTCTAAATGTAAATACATAAATAGTTAAATAAACAAATGAAAAAATAAGTAGAAAAATAGGGAGGAAGAGAAGCATTTTAACTCAACTTCCCCATAATTTCCAGCAATAGAAAGCCTCAAATGGCTTATGGACTTGTTTTAGAGATTATGAGTGTATATTCTGTTCCACACACAGCCAAAGAGGTGAATGTAGAGGTGCTGAGCATGAAATCTCTGGGATGAAAGTATTTTTCAAAAGGCAAGAGCAGGATCTATCTCAGGACCTAAAGCAGATTGAGATTTCTCAATCTCAGCACTACTAACATTTTAGATTGAATAATTTTTGGTTATAGGGGGCTGTCCTGTACATTATAGAATGTTTAATAGCACCTTGGCCTCCACCCAGTAGATGCCAGTAGCACCCTGCCAATCATGACAATCAAAGCTGTCTCCAGACAATGCCCAGTGTCCCTTGCAGGGTGGGGGTGGGGGGTGGGGGGGTGCTTGGTCAAGAACCACCAACTTAAAGTTATCCACAAAAAGGCTTGGTTTTCCTACCCTTAATTCTTCAACATCGCTCTTAATTTCTTGGGCCCCTCCCCCTTCTCCTACTGTTTGGTGGTTCCCTAGCCCAGCCTCCTGTCCTTCCTCTCTCTACCCCACCCTGATTTAGCCATCCCCTACGCCAACGGATCGACCTTGGAGGCAACAGGAGAGTCAAAGGCAGAGGTATCCCCAATGCAATGGAGTCAGATGTGTTTCTGGAATCCGAAATGGGAACGCTGTGCCCATCTCTCATACAATACCGCCGCCCTGGAGAAAACCATGACCTCCTCTCCGTCCCCTCAGGTGCTCCTCATTTCAGCCCCAGATTATTCAGTCTCGAATCCACTTTCTGCCTCCACAGCCTGCCTCACCCCCTACTATCCAATCCATCCTCTACAGTATTTCTAGGCCGACTTTTAGAATGTCAGTCTATGTAAGTCACCCTCTGCTTATATTCTCTCAACAGCTCCCTACTGCCTTCAGGACAGCACATACATTCTTCAGGTTATAAGCCTCATCACTTACTATTTTTTGGCTATACACCAGATGCCAAAACACAGAGTCACTACTTTTCAACAGTCATGCTTCTTCACATTTGTGCTTTTGCATACACTGTTCCCTAAGCCTGGAATTTCCCCATCCCATTCTTCCTGGGGGTAAAGTCTCCTCACCCATGGCTTCCAGAGCTCTGGGAAGCTGCCTCTGGGCCTCGGTCTGAGTTAGGTGTCACCCATGAGCTCTCACAGTATCCTGTGTCCCTCTTCACCCCTGTGTGCTGAGGTATAACATTATTATTTTCTCCTACTAGATGAGGAGATATATGAGGACAGGACCCACGTTCTTTTACTCCTCCAAACCTATCACAGCGCCTTGCACATACTTAAAAGGTGGCTAAAAATTTTAATACTAAAATAAAACTAAATTTCGTCATTAAACCCTTTTTTACATAAGTTGGCTAATCCAATAGTTAATTTTCTACACTATCGGGATGAAAACTACCTGGTACAGGTTCCTGAGCAGGAGCTGGGTCCGGAACTTCTGCGGGCATCAGCTGTTCACTCACCACTGCCCCATCAGGAGCTTCAGCCATCATTTGTTGAAATGGGAATGTATAAAAAGCTTGAGCTTGCTGAAGAGAATAGCTGAAAGAACAATTAAATATAAAATGTGAAATTAAAGTTACCCAACTAGAAGTTTAAACAATCAGCTGTAAAAAAAAAAAAAAAACTTCAGGATCCAAAAGGTTTGTAACCAGGCTGTAATATTTGGAGTTGATAACAGGGGCAAAGGGAGAAGGGATATCTGTTTCCACATGTGCACATTCACCCAATTTTTACTTTGTGCCTACTAACCAAACGTTAATTAACTCTCCTACTGTTTAATGACAAGATGTGTCATCAATAAAACTTACCAGTCCTGTCAAGTCAGCCTCTGCTTTCCCTGAAATGAGATCATGGGAATTTTATAGCAGAGACATTTAAAAGGCACAACAGCTCATATAGGATTAAAGTGTCCATAAAAGCCATTTGTGTCTCTATCTTCAGATTTAATCCCTTTTGTCACAAAGATGCCCTCCAATCTAACCGTCACACAGCTTTATTGATATACAATTGACATATAACCTTGTACGAGGTAAAGGCACACAATGTGTTTTGATACATGCATTGCAAAATGATTACTAACACAGTCTTAGCTAATATCTGCATCCTGTCCAATAATTACCAGTTCTTTTTTGCAATGAGAACACTGAAGATCTGCTCTCTTAGCAACTTTCAAGTAACCAGCACAGTATTATTAGCTGTAACCCCCACGACGTACACGAGATTCCCGGGTCTTGGTAACCCTTACACTCTTGCCTAACATCTCCCCACTCCTGCCTTCCCTCCAACCTAACTTAAGGTTCTCTTTTGGTTTATCTGCCTACTTAACGATTTATTCATTGGATCTGTTTCTAAACCGTTGCTGGCTTTTTGCCACTAGATTAGGACTAGAAATGGTTATTCTGTACATATCTGTGGGAATTTATGGAAAAAACCACTTTAAACCTCTTTTCTGAACATTTTTCAGACTTTGTTCCAAGTAAGTCAGTTCAATATAAGGAACAGAGGCAAAAAGTAACTTTTCACAAGAAGCAACTACCAAAAAAATACTTTCAATGACTATAAACCACTATCTCAAACTGTTGCCCTCAGCACAAAGCCAGAGAAGTAAACATACATTTTATATAACTCAAGCTACAGCTGATGCCAAATGATGCCAATAAATACACAATGGGAAGGAAAACACTACGAAATAAAATGGATAAGTATCGTTCACCATTTGGAGAGAAAAGTCATGTTTTCTGTGGTGAACTCACTTATTAGTCACAGAGCAAGAAAAGTAGAAGCTCAGAAAGCAGAGATTAAAAAGGCAAACTAGTACGCTCTAAATGGGTGAACTTTATAGTATATAATTCATATCTTAATAAAATGGCCTTAATAAGCTTAAATGGCCAAGGCACCACAGGGTAACAGACTATCTGTGGGCGGCTAGGCTAGGATGCTGGGTGCTCAGAGAGAGACAGGGGCCAAACCCCAATGGACAAACGACTGGAGAGTAACTTTGGCTTCAGGCTATCTTTAAGGGTAAGCTGCTAAAGAAAAGGTTAAGAATTAGAAAGATATTACACTCTATCTTAAGAGTTTTACTTTTTTATCTAAAAAAATTGTTTTCAATTATGTAAAAAAATAGACACAGCAATGCAGTAAACTTCAGTACATGAGAAAATACTATGCAGCAAAATTACATTTATTGATATTTTTAAAAGCATAGAAAATGTTTAATGCAGACTTTAAAGTCAAAAAGAACACAAAACAGTACTGTAACCTAAGGCTGCACATCAGGAAAATATGTAGACAAGTCCTAGAAGCTCAAATGTGAAAAATGAAGAGAGGTGCTTAAATCATGCTCAGCACAAAGTAAAATGTCCCCCCCACCTCCACTTTTCTTTAATAATATTCATAGCTCTGGGCGCCTGGGTGGCTCAGTTGGTTAAGCGTCTGCCTTCGGCGCAGGTTGTGATCCCAGGGTCCTGGGATTAAGTCACGCAACAAGTTCCCTGCTCCGAGGGGAGCCTGCTTCTCCCTCTCTCTCTCGCCCCACCTCCCGCTCTCATGAATAAATAAAGTCTTTTAAAAAAATAATATTCATAGCTCTTTTTGATAAATTGTAAAAACATTGGTTGTTCAATGTTGATGACATATATACTCTAATGAGGGGTTGGATACTCCTAGGTTACATCACGAGATCTTGTTTAGTGACCCTTCAGAAATTCTAGTAAAATGAACTGTATATTGATTGTGGCCAGCAGCAGTTTCCTGAGATGTTAGCAAGCCCTTTCAGCTGGAAGGTATAAAAATAAAGACATATGGTGACAATAAGTGAGTGGCCAGAAGAATGCACGATGTCTGTTCTTAGTCTGTCACTTAGAAAGGAGGGCAACCTTCCACCCTCTCCCTTGTTTCTTGCTACGACTTTCAAGAGTTTCACAGATGTGTCCCATTTCGAGCACTTCACAAAGTCCAAACTTAAAATACTTAATTTAGGAAAACACTACACTCAAAAGGATTCTGAACTTTAAAAAATAAATTTCTAAAACATGGTTCCTTTCGCATATTTTGGGGTCATTAAATTCTGAAGCTCAGAATCTGAAAATTAAAATTTTAGAATCAGAGTTGGCTGAGGAAGAAGTGAAAAGGAAGAAAAAAAAATCTGAGGTTTGATTTTAGAGATAAAATCAAAATCAAAATTGGTATGTTGACAGAAATCGAGAAACTTATCGATATTATCAATATGTCCCTTAATCTTTCTAAAAATGATCCCTGGTACCTCACAAAAAGTTAAATTAGAAATAGAAAACAAATTAGAAATAGAAAAATAAAGCTTTGAAAAATATGATGTGTAAGTTCTAAGGTAATACACTATACTTGAGCGTTTCGTCTTATCATCTGATCAACAGCTTCCTAACAGAACAAAAGGAAAGAGTGCATCACAACATTCCTACTACTTGGCAGGAGCAAGCAATACATCTGTACAAAAACCTTCAAGAACTTCAAAGCTAGAAAACTAGAGTTCTGGATAATTTAATTGTCTATTATCCAGTAACAGTTGTATTAGTGGATAGTATGCTGCTGGATAGTCGCATAAACCTGTTCAACCGTAATCTGAAAATATTTAATACATTTGTTGTATTTATATACGATTGCCACTTAGGAACTCAGAATTGTGCAAAATTTACAAAGCATCATTTTCTCTGTGTTGAGGGACAGCAACAGAAGAGCACCTGGTCAAGTCACTCATCCTCTCAGGACCTCTCAGGACCATGAAAATGATTTCTACATATACAGACAACGTATAGAAAACAGGACTAAATCTGTCCAGACTCCAAACAGAGCCCAAAGAGTTTTTATTTTTTGTTAACTCCTTCATATCAAATTGCTAAGCATGAGGGACGACCTTATTTCCCTCGCTCACTTTTCTCCCCTATCGTTTGTCCCCACATCCTCCATCTCACCTCCCCTTTGCCTGCAGCTAACTGCCCCCCCCTTTCCTAGCCTCCATTCACAGCCCCCTTCTCTTGATCATCAGTATTCAAAGCACTGGTTTTTATAGCCATCTGAAGTGGATATACTGTGTATTTTCCTGAAGAACTGGGTATTTCCCGACAGTCTTTCTCAAAACACACACACACACAGCGGACTGAGTAGTCCAGTGAATTCAGGCTTTGCTGTACTTCAAACTTCCAGATTTTCTCTAAAACGAACCCCAACTTCTTTAATCCTTTATTTTCCACTTTTTTTTTTTTAAAGATTTTGTTTATCTGACAGAGAGAGAGCAAGCACAAGCAGGGGGAGCAGCAGAGGGAGAGGGAGAAACAGACTCCCCGCTGAGCAGATAGCCTGATGTGGGATTCGATCCCAGGACCCAGGAATCATGACCTGAGCTGAAGGCAGACACTTAACTGACTGAGCCACCCAGGAGCCCCATTTCCCACTATTTTAAAGATTTAACTGCTCTTTTCTAAATATACTTGTCTCCTTGGGCTGCTATAACAAAATACCATAAACTGGGTGACTTACAAAAAATAATTTTTAGGAGCACCTTGGTGGCTCAGTCAGTTAAGCACCCGACTGTTGGTTTCAGCTCAGGTTGTGATCTCAGGGTCATGAGATCCAGCCCTGCATTGGGCTCTGCACTGGGCATGGAGCCTGCTTGCAATTCTTGCTCTCTCCCTCCCCTACTTTTTCTCTCTCTAAAAAAAAAAAAACAAAAAAACATATTTTTTCTTACTACAGTTTTGGCGGCTGGAAAGTCCAAGTTCAAGGCACCAGCAGATTTAATGTCTGTTGAGGGCCCACTTCCTGGTTCATATGGGTTGCCTTCTCACTATATCCTTAAAGAATGGAAGAGGTGAGAAGAATCTCTCTGGGACCTCTTTTATAAGGGCACTAATCCCATTCATGAGGGCTCCACCCTCAGGACGTAATCACCTCCCAAAGGCCCTACCTCCAAATATCATCACAGTGGGGGTTAGTTTTCAACATATGAATTCTGAAATGACATTCTATAGCAGTATTTTATTATTTTCATTTAAACAATCATACACAACACTGAATAATTACAAAAAAAAAATCAATGCTAAATAATCCAAATGCTCAACTAAAGGGAACTAGTTATATAAACTATGACCAAATACCATCATAACTATTTAAAGACTACATTTAATATTGCAAAGCAGAGGGCAACCCTCTCGGGTCCCCTCCCCTCCCTCTTTGGGAACTTTGTACCATCACTTTGCTATCTCTCAATAAACCTTGCTTTGCTGCCCACCACTCTGTCTGGTCTACCTCTTCATTCCTGGAAGTGGCGTACCCAAGAAACGAGGACACTGATGGAGAAAAAACCCCAGAACATTTTGGGGGGCTCATTCGGGGTATCCACCCGACAACTAACTGTGAGTAGTGGGCAGCAAGTCTCTCTCCCCCGCCTCTCTCTTCCTCCCCATTTTGTTTGCTGAAACAATGAGCACCTGTCAGCCACGTGAGAGCCATTAGCGCAGCTGCCATTCTCAAGGGAGAGGCTCTTTAGCCTCCCCTTCCCACTG